GCATTCGTTTCATGTATAATACCATGTTCAGCATAAAAATCATTAAACAAGCTAGAGTCATATTCGGTTCCCCTATCACTGCGAAGTCTCTTAATCTTCTTGTTAAATTGATTCTCAATTTCAGTTACATACACCTTAAATATGTCAAGCGCTTCACTTTTATTCTTCATTAGATATACATAAGTATAATCAGAGCAATCGTCAATAAAAGTGATAAAATAACGTTTATTATTTCTAGTTAAACTTCCATCTAATTCACATATATCAGAGTGTATAAGATCTAGGGGATCAGATTCTTTTATTATTGATTTATGTGAAGTCTTTGTTATTTTAGCTTGACTGCAAAATTCACATTTATTGGAATCATTAATATTTAGTTTAGGGATTAGGCCTATGTTGCTTGCATTAGAAATGATTCATTTATTAACGTGACAAAGTCTACCATGCCAAATATTAAAATCACACAAAAGGTAAACAGAAGGAGAAGTTTTATTTTTGAAATCTTTCCAACCAGGGGGCAGTTTGTCAATAATTACAGCAATTTGAAATTGTTCATTAAGGGACATACCTTCTGTAATAATCTCATGAGCAATCTTCTGAATTTTGTGGCTTTGAGTTTCCACCGACTTCTCATCCACCATCTTGTAGTTCAAGTAGCGGCTGACAGCAAATTTCTTCGCACCTGCTTCTTCAGTATCATATTTCCTTTTCAGAGCCTCCCATACCTGTTTAGCAGTTCTGTAGCTACTGTAGTAGTCGTACAGATCATCAGCAAGGCTGTTCAGAATGTGATTTTTGCACAGATAATCATTCTCGTGCCATAAGGTGATTTCTTTTCGGAGCTGCAGATCATCTGCTGCAGCCTTAGCTTTTGCAGCATCTGAGTCAGACATTTTGGAAGTCCCGTCTGAATCTGCAAGTGAGTTACCGTTAGGTAGTTCAGATGATGCAGAAGGGACAACCGGGATATCCTCAGTCAGAACGTGGGCAACCTTTTTCAGAGTTAAGAAAAATTTCATCTTAGCTTGCCAACGTTTGAAATTGGAACCCTCAAACCTAAAAGGTTTGTCAGAGACCAAAGCGGCCGCAGTAGTACCGATAATTTCCTCAGTTGCCATGGCAGTTATGAAACCGTCTTAAATTGTTGTTTTCGGATTTGAAATATTGGCACAAGGAAATTATCGGGACGAGTCGCGTACTAGGTCGCTTTCTTTAAGACGTTTCGCCGTACTGCCAAAATATGCAAAGCAGTCGATTTACGACGACGCCTCCAGGATAAAACAGCCCGTTCAAAATTACGATTATCAGTTGCACACTGATAAATCGCTCTAGAAATACACCTTTCTAAATTATCTGGCGAAAATAGCCAGTCCAGTATCTGGCTGTAATAGCCAGTCGAAAAAACCAAGAAAAGAAAATTGTTTAGATGAAGAGAATTAAGGGAGAGAGAGGGAAATCAAAATTCGTGTGAATTTGTGAAATCCGGAGTACTTACTACTGAATTTCTACCCTTTATTTATAGGCAGCTAGTAAGGCTTAATTTTCATTCCCGTCAATGTGGGACTAAAATGAATCTTAATTTCCATTCCGTTCAATGTTGGACTAAAATGAATCTTAATTTTCATTCCTTCAATGTGGGACTAAAATGAATCTTAATTTCCATTCCCTTCAATGTTGGACTAAAATGAATCTTATTTTTCATTCCTTCCATGTGGGACTAAAATGAATCTTAATTTCCATTCCCTTCAATGTTGGACTAAAATGAATCTTATTTTTCATTCCTTCAATGTGGGACTAAAATGAATCTTTTCAAATTCACTTATATATTACTTCTTACTTGTGTTGATTTATTGCCCATTAATTGTCAATAAATCTTTCCAATTCCCACTCTAATTAATATAGTTCCAACAATTAGTGAAAAGCCAATTAGAGATAATGTTGCTAGTTCTATGTGTCTAGATTATTAAAAAATTTCTTAATGAATTGTTACTTTTATGAACGATGTTTTGAAGAATTTTATTTGGATTGAATTTTGTATTTGTAATTTGTGGGTGGAATTTTTTATTTGTAATATGCAGATTAAATTTTAGTGTTTTAAATCTTTACATTTGAATTTGCACATAAAATGTTATATTATTCATTGTGTTTTTTAGTAATAGACATGAAATCGAATTTAAAAAGGCCAAGAAAACTCAATAGTCTAAAAACATGCAATTGGACAATTGTTATGGATGAAGTTTTGATTGATGCATATTTGCATCGAGAAATAAAAATGGTAATAGTATGACAACAAGTGCTATGGATAGCATTCTTAAAGAATTGAAGATTCACTTTCTGGACAAACCAATTTTCAAAGAAAAGATAAAAGATCACATGAAACACATCAAAACGAAATTCAATTCTTGTTACGACCTTTCCCAGAATGGCCTGAGTGAGTTTGGATGAGATTCAACGAAAAATATGTGGATTGCTGAAGAAGAAGTTTGGAACAAGTTAATTGAGGTATTATTTACTATAATTGTTTTACCAAATTATTTTTATTTGATTTCACTTATAAAAAAACTTTTTTAGTGATGTCTTGTTTCGTTTATTATGGTGTAGGAAAAATTCGATGCTGCTGAATGAAAAAAATAAGTCAATATTATTTTATGATAAATTGGCCAAACTTTTTGGAAAAGATCGAGCAACATGAGAGCATGAAGATACAACTGCTGAAATGAGAGCAAAAAAGGCTGTAAATGTTGAAAAAAGTTGTGGCACAACCATCGAAGAAATATACCACCTAGTTGAGACCAATGAAGTTATTTTGGAGGAATTTGATGATGATGAACACCATTCCAACAATTCTCCTACAAGACCTTCTGTTACCAATTCTCAAGATGCATCATCATCTAGGACTAAGAAGCGAGTAAAGAAGGTTATTGAAGATGATAAAAGCATGATTGAAATTTCCAACAGAGTAAGAATGCTAATGGTGGAGATATTTGGGTTGAATTGGTTGAGATTGGCGTTGAACAAAATTCTTTGCCTCTTGTATACATGTACCTTGTTAATAATGTTGACGCATTAAAAGCTTTTAATAGAATTCCAATCGATAAGCGCAAGAAAATATTACATCTCATTGTTTTAGACTATCCTTTTTGTTAATGGAACATATTTATTAATCACTTCTATGTTTTTTTTTTTATTTTTATCTTTAACGAATGAAATTTAACGTAATTTATTTTATGTATTTTTATAGGTTCGGTGGAATACTTAAAGAAGAGACTCATTATCTATCATGGACCTATATTTGTCTTTTGTTCTAGCAAGACTTGATATCATTATCTTCAATAAGCTTATATTTATCTTTTAATTTTAGCAAGGCTTAATTTTATTTATTAATTATTATGATTACCAAGTATGGTGTTGAGAAAAACCCATGCACTTGATCTTTACAATTTTAGGTTATAATAACCATGTTCCATTTACAAAATTTCAAATTTATGACAATTTGTTTTATTTTCTTTTAAATGTTAAGTTGATATTTTTGTATGATTATATATATTATTTTATTGTGTTAATGTTAGATCTATCAACATTGTAGCATTCTTTATCTTATAAGTAGTGTTTAAGGGTAAAAATAGAATAAAAAATTATAATGCATTTCCGCTCCGTCCAATTTCCAAACTGTGGAATAAGATATTAGTTCTGTTGTAAAATATCCAAACTGTGAAATAGAGTTTATGCTCCGCTCCGTTAGTTTTAAATTATTCAAACATAGCCTTAGTGATATTGCTTCGATAAAATGTAAAATGTTTCTATAATTTATATATTTTCCAATAAAGAGAGAAACACGAAACCTTCTCGAGAGATATTTATATATTTTCCAACAAAGAGAGAAACACGAAACCTTCTCGAGAGATGGATGAGTGAGAAGATGATTCTAATGATAAATTGAGTGTTAATCTAGATATATTTTGAAATCTTACTTTGAAAAAATAAAATTTTCATATTCAAGCTATGATTTAATGATAATTATAATGTTGCTTATGAACTTACATTATAAAGAATCATGTCAAAAAACAACGTTTTTTCAAAAATCCCTTATCAAATCATTTAACTTCTTCTAAAACATGCATTTTAAACTTTTTTCAACTATTTGAATGGATTGTGTTTGTTTGAGAAAAAAAATAAATATAAATTAGAGAGTTTATAAGTTAGAGAGAGTTTATAAAGAATGCATTTTGCTGTTAATGAAATAGTTTTTTCATAAAATATAAAAATAAAAAAAAGTTATGTGGAACATAATATCATCTCACAAGTTATATATTATATTTCCATCCAATATATATCTGCAACAATCACATTGATTTAAATTTGATGGTTGCAATTGACAAAATGTAGGGAATTCAAAAGAGAGAGAATTAGTTTCCTTTCTAATATTAAAGAATATACCAATTAATTTAATTATTTAATTGTATAAAAGTTAAGAAAAAATTATAATCTACATTAATAGAATATTTCATAATGGCAAAAGTGTAATGCACGGTTATCACCTTTGTGAAAAACGTGAAAGAACTTTTTGAAGGGTTGTTCAATTTTTATCACTATACACATCATTTATTTTCAATAATTTCACTAAATATAAGTAGTGAGGTTGGGCAGAATTCTCCATGTCAACAAATCTTTTTAGAGTTTGCCTATTATGCACGTCAATGCCTGCAAAGTTCTGGTTTTAATCAAACACCAAAATTGTTAAGAACTGCATAAAATTAGATAGTAACGGGGGCTAAATCTAGAGTGTAACTAATTGTGCTGAGTTGGCACATGTTAGTTACACTATATAACCTCACTTGTAACCAACTTTCAGTCAATGAAACGAATCAAAACAGAATAGCAAAATGAAGTATCTGACGCTCTCGCTCTTTTCTTCCTCAATTCCTCTCTTTCTAATACAGCCAACACAGATCAAGGCATTCATTGAATAAATAGTGTGGCGGGCGAGAAATGAAACCTGCTCAAAGTGTCATCTCAGCCTGCAAAGCTGCCAATTCATCCTCCTCCGGAGTGGGCTTAGCATGCGCCAGCCGAGTAGGTTGCCGCCCAGCTTGGACATGTACTTGTGCTGCTGGAGCTGTAGTTGCAGGCTTAAGAAGCTGTTCTTCCAACTCGGCACCCTCTAGCTCTTCAAGTTCTGCTTCCAATTCATCCTGAAATGGAAATAAATTCAGTATGTTGCCTCGGTATGTTCAATAATGATTCAATCTGAAATAATAAAAACATTGATGCAATAAAAAATAAAAATGTATCTCCAGCATAAAGTAAATAACCAAATTAACAGTTGAGAAGATGACCTCGTCAAAGTCCGCAGCTGCACCAATTGGAGCTGACAATGTTTCCTGAATCTGTTTCATGTTCTCTGTTTGTTCGTTTATCTCATCCATGGTTTTGTCAACATCATTAATATTACTGGAAAAAAAATTGCAACTCAACAATGTAGCAACTAGCAATCGATTAAGCTCAACAGCATGAAAAAATATCAGCTAAATGCATGAAGAGAATTTTCCATATCACAATATACAGTACTTGTCAGGTTTTAAAAAGGTAGTAAAAACATAGAAGAGTTTATCAACAATGAAAGAACAGAAAAATGATAGGTGTTGCTACTACTACTACATACGTTTCTTTTTGCATTGCCTTCATAGCAGATGCTCCAGTTCTCAAAGCATCGATTGTTTCTGTAGTTGCTTTGGCTCCTTCCAACATTATCATCTGCAAAATATATTCAACCATAAAATTAAAACGATACTAAAAAAACAAATCAAGTTGCTTTTAACTGGTTAAATCAACCCTAGAAAACAGGTTAAATAATGGGCGAACTGATCCTGAGTCAATAATGGGCAAACTGATCATGACTCATGAACAAGTAAATGAATGATTGAACTGGTGCATCTTTTGTAATAAACTAGGTATCTCTTTAAAATTTTGAGGAATGTTCTTGGTGTAACTGGTGACAGAAAAATTTCATTCAACCTTATATCTATCAATAAAATATTCAAACAATAAAATATTCTTAGTATAATATTCAAACAATGTCAATTAAATTGGTATAAAACAATTGTTTTCACCATTCTATCTATTAATTAAATATTCAAACAAAGGTATTATTGCATGAACAAATTTCATTCCAAAAACAACAGCATCAACCAAGCATTATCCCACTAAGTGCGGTAAGTTATTTCATTCCATTCCACTTAATTTTATCTTATTCTACTTCATTTCATTCTCCATTATCCAAACATAGCCTAAGCCTTACTTTTTAAGGGTCAACTAGCTAGTTTGGTTTTGAAAAAAATAGTTGCAACTACTACATACAAACTTGCATTAAGTGTTGCCAGTGGCAGATGGCAGCTTGGTGACGCCGTAATAGCAGATTATGGTGAAAAAACTCACAATATCAACCTATATATACCATTGCGTCAGAGCCCAAAACCACCACTGATATCCACCACAGCTCTGCCATGGCCTACATTTGGCAACACTGATTGCATTTCCGCACCTGATCATGAATACGCAATTGAAAATTCCCAAGCTGCTCTATTTGCTCTTCATATAGCTTCTTCCTCTTCAAACATTGTATTGCCGCTGCACAAAGCAAAAATTAAAAAAAAAAAAGAAGTCATAATATATCATTCACCCGTGAACCAGCTCCATGAGTATTGTCACACAGGGTTTTAAAAAACTCTGTGCAACCGCAAAAACAGCCGTGACAAATTGGTTTCGGTAAGTGCCGATCCTGTTATCACTGTTTGTATATTAAAGAATAAATTATGGTTAATTCACACGGTGACAGGGTGACAGCATGACACCAGTACCGACCGACAGTAATCACGGAAACTTTTACGCAACCGTACTGATGTTACATACCTCTTTTATTCTTTGCTTTAGTGAATTCTTTGGCTTTTTCAACTTCTGCTGCAGCCTTTTTAACGAGAACATTCTCCTTTTTCTCAAGCATATCAAGTGTCTACATGATCCAAGAAACAAAAAACAGTGAAAAATGTATAAACAAAAACAGTGAAAAATGTATTAACAAAAAAAAGTAAAATTCTTCACCGGATTACTATACTAAGCGTAATTTGAAGAGTGAACAGATGAATTTATCAACTACGCAGAGTTAACGAATCAGTATCAAGATTGAAAAACGGTATGAACGCAGAAATAGATGCAATGTTACCTCATTTAACTTGTTTACGGTGGTTACAGTACTTGATTGTTTTTTATGTTTTCCAAAAACTCGGGTAAACATTGTTGATTATTAGAAGAGGTTGTGGATCGCAGAGGAAAAGATTGAATGAAAATTGAAGATCAGAATTTGGAAAGAGGAACGATAGAGTGCAGAGAGGTGGAGGGGAAGAACCTGGTTGATAATTTAGGGTTTGTAGTAACAGAGTGAAAGACTGAATAAGGTTTAAGAGGAATTTTAGGGATCCGTTAAGATTTTAAGCGTGAGTATAGCTTATAGCATTATATAGTTTTTCTTATGGTTTAATTGTGGTTTCGGTCTCTTATTTTCATTTTTATTTTTAACTTTAAGTTTTAATTCTCTTAATTTTAAATTTGGTATTTAAGGATTTAGTAAGAAGAATTGTGGTTTGATTCTCTTAACTATGATTGAGAGGGAGTTAGAACTAATTGATGTTAAAATTCACCCAGAATTGAATTAGTCGAATAAGTGAGTTAGATATTGACGAATGACGAGGAAAACTGTTAAAAACAGAGTATATTAGTTTCTTAATAAACAAGAAAACTACAAAATAAGAGAAAAGATAGAAGAGAAGAGAAATAGCAATTCAAAGTGGTTATAACTGGATTTTTGATTCAACTACACATTAGGGGACAATGTTCACAATTGAATCTCAATCACACCACTTTCTCCACTCGAATAGGATTATCAGAGATTGATGGAGAAGTGAGAACTAGTATGCTATTTATAAGAAAATTAAACTCTAACTTTCAACGAATATACTAAACAATTGGCTCAACGGGCTTGCCAAATTCACATCTAATATAAACAACAAGCTAACATATTTATGTATGCAAGAACAGAATTCAACTACGACATGCACATCTTCGACTTCGACAAAGCTCTTCAACTTTGACAAATTTTGCTACAACACTAGCTTATAACTCATAAGCTATAAATCTCCATTTTAGAACAAACTTTGAATCACGAAACCAATTAGTTTTCGTCATGCAGCTTTATCAACTACACACAGTGGAAAAACTTACTGTTTGACAATGTCTTAGTGATCATATCAACAATATTATCATCAGTCAAAACCTTTAGCACTTGGACTTCTCCATACTCGATTATCTCTCTGGCGAAATACAGTCTCACATCGATGTGCTCGGTTCGCTCATGATAGGATGAATTCTTCGACAGGTGTATTGCACTTTAACTATCACACTTACCAATGATAACTCAGCCTTGAAGTTTCAGCTCTTTAGTAAAACTTTCAAGCCACAATACATCTTTCAAAGCTTCAGTGAGGGCAATATATTCTACTTCAATGGTTGATAAGAAAAAAATCTTCTAAAGTGTTTCTTTCCAATTGATTATTGTGCTAAATATAGTTAACACATATCCAGAAATAGATTTTCTAGAATTCACACAACCTGCATAATTAAAGTCGACAAATCCTTTTATTTCGATTTTATAAAATCACCACAGGTTCCACCATAAACCGGGATTATGCTCAGAGACCCATTTATGTACCTTAGAATCCACTTTAATGCTTTCCAGTACGTCTTCCCGGAATTGGTCATATACCTACTTACAAGGCTCACTTCGTCCATGATGTATGGCCTTGTACATATCATAACATACATCAAAGAACCTACTATACTAGCATATGGAATGTTATTTATATAGACTCTTTTGACTTCAGTAGTAGGACTTTAAGTCATACATAGCTTGAATTAAGGATTGGTCGGTGTTAGAACAGGCTTTGAATTTGACATGCCAAACTTGCCGAGAGTCTACGTCAGGCATGTCTCTTGATATAAGAATAATCTTGACTGCTTTATATCTCTCTGGATGCCAATCCCAAGAACCTTGGATGCAGATCTTAGATCCTTCATGTTGAACTCCTTATCGAGTTCAGCCTACACCTTTATAACATTTTTGACATTGTTGCTTTCTATGAGGATGTCATCCACAAAAATCAACAAAATAACAAGTGAATTTCCAGGTCGATATCTGAATTAAACATAGTGGTCAAACTGCCTCTTAGTGAAACCTTTGTATGTCATGAACTTGTCGAAACTCCTATTCCATTTTCAAGAAGATTATTTCAAGCCACATAGAGACCTATTCAGCTTACACATATTATCCTACTTTCCTTTTTCTACATGCCTTTAAGGTTGTCTCATCAGGATTATTTCATCAAGATCACCATACAAGAAGGTTGTCTTAACATCCATCTGTTCAAGTTTTAGGTCAAACTTTTCCACCATGGCTAACAACATTCTAATGGATATGTGCTTTGCAACGGGTGAGAACATATTATTAAAGTCGACACTTTCTTTCCGAGTGAACTCCCTAGCAACCAACCTTACCTAAAATCGCTTTGACATCACTTTTTTAAATCCTTCTTTAACCTTGAAAATCCATTTACATTTGACTAACTTGACCCCTGTAGGTTTCTCAATCAGCTCCCAAGTGTTATTATCATGAAGAGATTTCATCTCATCATCTATGGATTTCAACTATTCAGTCTTATTTCGACTCCTCAGAGCTTCCTTGTAGTCTCTAGATTCTTCATCAAAAACCTCATTTGCAAAGATTAAGGCGAATGTTATGAGATATGCATAACCAAGTCTCTGAGGTGACTTGATAACTCTTTTTGACCTGTCTCGTGCCACCAGGTAGTCATTTTCAGTCTCCTCATCTTCATCAGCAACTTGTGTTTGATCTTCGACTTCATATGGGTTATGCAAATCAACATCACTATACTCCACCTCAACAGGGATCTCTTCTTATTCCATATATTCTTCATAGATCTTTGAAGTTTAACCAGCGTCATCAATTTTCGTAAAAGTCATTTCTACTTCATTGAAAACTACATCTTGACTTATGATACACCTTCTGTGACCTGGCTCTAGGCACCGCAACCTAAAAGCTTTGACTTCTTCAGGGTATTCAAGGAACATACATCTCAGAGCTTTAGGTTCAACTTTGTCTTGCCTAATGTGAGCATAAGCTAAACAACCAAATACTCTAAGTCTATCAAGATCAGGTGGATGTACCAACCAGACTTTTTCATGTGTCTTTATTCTTAAGGAAGTCGGGGGACACATGTTTATCAGGTAAGTTGCAGTCATGACGACCTCATCCCAAAACACCTTCTTCAATCCTGCATGAACCAACATGCATTTAACTCTTTCCAGAATGGTTCGATTAAACCTATCAGCCAAACCATTTTGTTGGGGAGTACCTACAATAGTGTTGTGTCTTTCAATACCAGACGCATCACAATAGTTGTCAAAAGCCTCATTGCCAAATTCAAGACCATTGTCGTTCCTCAACCTCTTGACCTTCCTGCCAATTTGGTTTTCAACTAGAGTCTTCCAACTTTCGAAATTTTCAAAACATTCATCCTTGGTCTTCTTGATGAATACGCATAACTTTATGGAATAATCACCAACTGTGGATAGGAAATATTTTGCACCTAAGTGTAAAGGATTCTTTGCAGGCCCCAAAGATCAACATGAATGTAATCAATGGATCCATGTGTTTTTTGTTTATCTTTGTTAAATTTCACCCTACAGGATTTACCAAATACACGAGGTTCACAAAACTCCAATTGTTCGACCATGTCACGACATAACATATTTTGTTTCGACAATTTGACCAGGCCTCTTTTGCTGACATGGCCAAGTCTCTTGTTCCATAGCTCAGTCTCCGACACAGTTTTTGGGTGTAACGCCCCAAAATAATTAGAATATCTATTTAATTTATATATTATAAATATTCGTGATTTCAATGAATCTTGGTGAAATATTTGATGCTTGATAATTTGTGTTGTGGGATATTGATGTTGTTCATAGGGTATTGAGAATATTTAGAAGTATATGATTATTAGAATTATTTTGATAGTAATAATAGTGGATAATATGAATATTTTATTATTATTATTATTATTTTAAATAAATAATTAGAACACTAAGGACAAAATGGTAATGTTGGATGGATTAAGTGAGGATAAAGTTGGGAAATCATATTAAGGGTCCTAGGGGTAAGTTGGACAAAAGGAAAATAGAGAAGAAAGGAATTCATTTTTGGTACGATCGTATTTTGGGAAAGGAGCTCTGAGGAAAAGGAAAATGGGAAGCTAGGGCTCAGAGAAACTCCGGAAGAACTCAAGAAGAGGATCATAATCAAATTGTCTAAGGTATGGGGAGTATAGCTTGTCATTATAATTGATATAAGGTTACATGTACGTAGGTGGTAGGGGATTTTGGATTTTTAGAAAATTATGACGAACTTTATGATTTATGGATGTGTAGAATGAAGGAAAATGATGTATATGTTGTCTGGTATGATATGTTATTGTTGTAGTGTTGATTTACTTGTGATTTATGTGTATTTTTGGACTGAAGGGTATTGGAAATCGTAAGAAATTTGGGTCTAAACTGGTGCAGAATCGCAACTGAGAAGTTGCAGGTTCGTGCAGTTTCTCCGGGCGAACGAAGGTTGAAAAATGAGTGCTCCTGGTTTTTGTACGAAGGAAGGAATTCGTCCAGGCGAGCAGGAGCAGTAGTTTTATTTTTGTTTGTATTTGTTATGTTGTCTTGTATCTCGTTGTCTGTATGCCTTGAGTAATTGATGTGTTGTATTTTGGTGACTATAACATGATGTTTTGTGATGTAATATGAAGAATTGTGATGCATAATAATGATATAATATCATGATGTTTTGATGAATTTTCATGAATGATGATGCAACTTTGCGATTCGATGATGATGTTGATTATGACATAGTGCATCATGCATTCATAGCATAGTAAGATTTCAGTTCAGTGTTATTGATAGGAATTCGGTCCAGTGTTGTTGATAGGACTTCAGTCCAGTGTTGTTGATAGGACTTCGGTCCAGCGTTGGCATCAATCCTATTGTGTGGATTGTGGTGTTTATGTTGTGCTCTGGATCTTGTGTAGAATCGATTCTATTGTTGGGGATCTTTGGAGGGTGATGGCCCAGTGTCCATCAACATGTTGATTTGGTACCACATTCATGAGTCTATGT